AGTTTTAGCTCAAAGTTTTCACCTTTTTGTCCCAAACTTGATCTTGGTGAGTAGGATATACTCCAAGACGTTTGAGTTGTCCTTTCAGAGGTTTTAGGGTGTGTTAAGTCATAAAAATGTGTTCTTGGTCATTAGTTTCTTTCCATGCATGGGCTAGATGGTCTTAATGGGTAAAGAAGCTAGGGTTTTTGGAGTTATGGTCTTAATAGCCATGCTAAACCATAAAGTTGGAAACTTAATGGTTAAAGTGGCGAGCAACCACGTACGCTGGGCGTACCAAGGGGTACGTTGCGCGTACATGGTCAACTCCCCAAAATTGGTCAATCATGTAGTATGCCCCGCGTAAGTAAGGAGTACGCCCCTCGTACTCACAGAGTCAACTCGGTCGAGTCAGTTGACTTTGATCTGGATTTTTACTAAGGTTTGACCTAGGGGTATTATAGGTATTTTGACCTATATGCTGAGATTGTGTTATTGAATTTACTAAGGTGACTGGTAGAGTTGATCACAGAGCATCGTACTATTCAGTTTGCTTATCTGTCTGTGAGGTGAGTTTTCTCACTATATCCATGGGTCGAAGGCACCAATACTGACCTATTACTTGTTATGTGGAATGCTAGTTGTCTCTATGATACTTGCATGAAAGACCAGGATCTGCCCCTGCCAATTGTATGAAAGACCAGGATCTGGCCCCTGTCACTTGTATGTAAGACCAGTATTTGGCCGTCGACATTGCAAGGAAATACCATGGGGGTAGCCCATGTCACTTGTATGTAAGACCGGGATTTGGCCCTCGACATTGCAAGGAAAGACCATGGGGTAGCCCATGACACTTCTTGATGGGTTTTGAGCATATCTACATTCCTATGTGGTCATGCAACCCTAATTGCTTTGGATCTAAGTTTTTCTCTATTGAACATACAAATATGAACACCAAAGCAATAACCCTCCAGACTAGTATACAATTTCGATTTCCATGTATAAACTAGGGTTAGAAGATTACCTCACTTGTTATGTAGTAATAACAAGAACCACCTTGACTCTTGAAAGCTTAGTGCCCCAAGTGTTGCACCTCTAATGGAGTCACAAACACCCAACACAACAAGGATGAGAAGGAGAGATAAGAAAATAGGCCAGGGTTTCAATCCAGAGTGTATCAACCGATTTTTCTAATTCCTAGGGGGTTCTTTATATAGCCGTGGGCTGCTAGGGTTTCTGGAGGAAACCCTAATTCCTGCTTAAGGCTTAAGCAGCCCATGGACTCCTCCTTATGAGGCCTTGTACGAAATCTATAGGGCCTCCCTATAGGATTTTGTCCAATCCTAATTAAGGAGTCCAATAGCCCAGTTCTGCAACTATCAATGATTTGCAAAACAGTCCCTCCATTATTAATCAGTTCCTTTAATCCCAAAATTAATATCAAATTAATTTATGATTAATTACCAATTAATAATATGATTTCCAAATAATATATTAATCTTATAATATATTAATAAAATCATTTTGAGTACCAATTTATTATTCATATAATAAATCCTACCCTCTCTCCACTAGTCATCCTGTCAAGTTGCATGAGTGAAGGCAACCCAAAAGGACCATGCTACATATCAAATCAAGTACATACAAATTATAGTTATTGTAACGCCCGTAGATCCGGGCAAGTCAATTTAGAGATAATAGGGGTCGAAAACGACTTTTCGACAAAAGATTATTTAGAATAAATAATCTTAACCAAGTTGTAGAATACGTCTCAAGGTTTCTGTACATATAAAGAACGCCGAAATCCGAGTTATAACGAAGAAGTTATGACTCGTCGAAGTTTTACAGCAGAACCGGCACGGCACCGGGAGACGTAAATAGTGAATTTACGATAGAGCGACTTTTAGCCTTAGCGATCTAAGCGAAAGTCGTAGAAAACGTTAAACCGAGAACATACAAAAAAAGTACGCCCAAATCTGACTTCGTATGAGGAAGTTATGAATTTTCTAAGATTTGACATAACACTGCACGACCCGAAACTCGAATTTTAGATCGAGCGGTTTTTTGGCCTACGTGACCTAAAGGAGAATTGAAGATATCATTAATAGGAACTCAACGGTAAAAAGACAGACGAAAACGGAGTCCGTATGTAGAAGTTATGAATTTTACGCAGACATTTAACAGTATAATCTCCTCGTACTGTTAAATTTAAGATCGGTCGAGAATTAGCCGACGAAGTCAAAATGAAAGTTGTAGATCTTATTTGTACCTACGCGTGGATATAAATAACGTCAAAAACGGAGGTCGTATGTGAAAGTTACGGATTTTAGAAGTCGAAAGTGTGCTGTGCGAAAATGGGTGATGTGGCACAATCTTGGTCATTGCTTTCTCCCCAAGTCTTGCCACTAGATGGTGACATGTGGCACCAAGTTCAGCCATTTTTCACCCCTATAAATAGAACCTCTCCCACCCTCATTTTCTTCACACCTTTCTCATTCTTTCTTCTCTTTACTCTCTCTCTAGAACCTCTCTCTAGCCCCGAAACCCCCCGAAAAGCCTAGGGAACCTCCCTAGCACGAGGCGGAAGCCCCGGAGTGCTCGACGGCTCCGAGAAGAAGAGCTTTTCGGCTCGGGAACGCTGCTCCAAGCAAAGCCCGGTTTTCTATAAAACCCGCTGTAAGTGAGCTACGCTTACGCTATTTTTAATATATCGTTTATTTAATTATAGTAGCGTTATTAGGAACTTATAATAAGTACTTGGGCTATTATTATGGGTTATATAAGTATTGTTTAATGCTTATATAATAGTAATAATAGCTAGACTATTAATTAGTGTCGGCGAATAATAGACTAAACTCTAGTGGTAATAATACTAGGTTTCGTCGAAGGAAATTATTTTTAAGAAGCGAAACGCTGTCTGAGTTCGGATTCACCACCTTTTCAAGTGAGTGCATAGTTACTTTCATCTTACACATATATATGAAATATTTTATATAAATTACGTGCTATGTGTACATATTATCTGTATACTTGCTATCTATGCTGGATGAACGATTTTATACATATTTTAAATGATTTAAACTGTATATATATATATATATATATATATATATCTACGAGAATATGTTGGGTAAAACATGGGTAGATGTAATAGATGGAATATGAGTTGGATGATGAGTTGAGAGGTGTTATAGACCACGAGGTGAGTGTGAGAGGTGGACGATGTGAGAAGCCTTTCCCAAATGATGGCCCCGTCATCTAGCAGAGTATGGATGACAACCACGGACTATTCTAGACAGTCCAGTGGAACACTGGCAGGCTCGCAACCTGTAGGTGTTGTGAACGATGTGTTCACCGGTGCACTCTAAAAACCCATTGACATGTATTGCGAGTGGACTCTCGAAAACGATACTGTCAATAAACGAGATAACCCTAGCAGCTGTGCTCGAAGGACAATACTGGTAGCTGCGCCTCACATAGAATGTCATAATTTTGGCAGCTGCGCCTAAGTGATAGAACTAGCAGCTGTGCTTGACAGATGTGTCATTGACAACGATGGACTTCGTGCCGATTCCTTAGGATGATCCTTAGGAATGAATGAACGAGGAATAATTGATTCTTAGGGTAGATCCTTAAGAGTAAAGAAGATAATGGGGATGGGTAATTGGGTTGATTGTTTGATGTTTAAACATAATAATTATATTTATTGTGGGTTGAAAACCCTATGTACTCACCAGGTTTCCCAACCTGACCCACTCAGTTTATTTGTATCACAGGTGTCGATATGAAGTTACATTACACTGAGAGATTTAAAAAAGATGTAGATCACTAGTGTAAATGAATGTAAGTTCTGTTTATGCTTATGTTTCTGTATTAACGATGACATCCCAAATGTTTTAAAATGAATAAAAATACATTTATTCGGAAATGCTTTGATAACGTATTTATCATGTTTTTCTGGGAACAAATTCCGCAAGATTTTTATTAAAAGAAGTACTCTGATTTTTATAAAGCATAAACAAAATCGGTCTTTTCTGGCCGTGAAAATGGGGATGTCACAGTTATGGTCTTAGACACCGAATCCAACACTTTTATATTTTGGTATGTTGTATTTTGAGGAATTCACTAAGCTTTGTACTTACAGTTTATGTTTATGGTTTTAAGTACTTCTGCTTCGAAAGGGAAGAGTCCGACGTGATGACACATCATCCTCCCCTCATGATTTCCATATTTTGAATAATTGTACTCTGATGTTTTGAATATTATGACTTGGTGTTGATTTTGAACAATTAATGAATGATTTGATAGACTTTAAAATGAAAAATTTTATTACTATTTTCGGGACATTACAATTTTATAGGAAAGGAAGATGCACAGATTGTAGTTGATAAATATATAAAAAAATGAAAGATGATCCAAAACCTACCTTTAAGTTTATATCCAACATGGGAAGTTGATGTCGCTTTTTTTTGGACATACGAAGTTGCTAAGGCCAACTAAATCACGATGAAAATAGTGTTTTTTACAACTTTAACAAATTTAATTGTATAATGAAAAAAGGAGTTTGAATGATGTTTTTTTAGGCCATCGGTAAAAAATTATTAACCTCCTTATTCGAAAAATAAATAAAAAAACTAGCATCGAACCATGTTTTCCATAACACAAACGAAGAAGAAAAAAATGTTGCTCAATATTTTGATTTTATTTTATTAATCAACCACATCTCACGTAACACAACCATTTAGGGTTTTTATTCAATTTTGATTTGTTCCATTGATGAAACTCACTATTTAGGGTTTTGTCTCATTATCTCAATCTTTTGAAAAGCCCCAATTGGATGACTATGTAAGTACTCTTGCAACATGACCTCTACTCTATGTTTGTGATTGTTTCTTTGTCAAAATTAGTGCGATGTACCATGAATTGGATATGTTGTAAATTATGCAGGTTGTTTTTTCATCAAGTTATCTTTTAGAGCTACCAGAGTTAGACAATTTTCGGGAAACTCCAGGTGTTTTCTTTTACAAGTTTTCAGATATATTACTACACCAGTACACGAGATGGGTGATTGGATCAATAAATTAATGGAAATTCAAATTTGTACAAACTAAAATACTTTTTATAAAGATATAATATACTTCCTCTGATAATTTGTTAGATGAAATCATCATGAGAGAACATCGAATGGTTGAGCCTCTCGAGCAACTTTAATGAAAACATCTTCAAGAGTTGTGTCTGCAAGCCCCCATGCCTGAACAACAAACCTACTTTTAGCATTCTCAACAGCACGAAAAACATCTGCTATTTTGATGGCTTCTTTTGGCAATTCAAACTTTTGTGTCCCTGATATTTCGTATATCTTTTTAGCATCCGGCGAGAGACCTTTTACTAGGTTTTCTACATCTGCCTCGTGATTTGAGGATGTTGTCATTGTGAACACGTATGAACCTCCATATCTACCCTTCAACTGTCCTCATGCAAATTTAAGATAGTAAGATTCACTCATTAAAAAACACTTGTATTTTCACCATTTTTATTTTATCAGTAATGATTAACCATTATACTTTTTTTTACCGTTTTAACCCGAATTTGATATTAATGGGCAAAATACCTCTTTAGGGTTTCCGACACACTGCAAGCTTCCATCAACAAAAATCCCTAACCGATCACATAGATGCTCTGCTTCCTCCATAGAGTGTGCTGAACATTTTCATTACCCATATAAATTACATTTGAATGAGAACAAGTTGTAAATTGTTTGGCATATGCAGTGACTGTACTGGGACAAAAATTGCAATTTTTTGTCACATTCGTTCTCAGTCTGTTACGTGGAAAAGATGTGAATGCCCTTTGGAAAGTGTATTAGAGCCAGAAAATTACTGGTGAGAATAATAGCACGGTTTTGTTTAGCTCGCTTGACAACATTCCATAAATTGTTTCTTGAAGCTGGGTCAAGTCCAGTACTGGGCTCATCCATGTATACTACCTTTGGATCTCCGATTAATGAAATGGCAACACTCAGTCTCCTCTTCATGCCTCCACTGTACTTCCTGGATTGCTTGTCTGCAACCCCACCATTGAATAGATTTACACTTCTTAGAGATTCTTCAACTGCCTAAAACATTGAAAATTACATGTAAATAAGTTCCAAAATCTCAACATTTAGAAATTAAGAACTTCATTAAATGCAAGTTTATTAGCAAGAAAATCGTCTAGAAGGCCCACATGACACGACATGACAAAACATATTATGCTGCATTTAACATGCACTAAACACGGACCGAGTTGAGACTGATGTTAATGGAAGGAAAATGAAATTTTTTGCTCCACCCCAAAAATTGGAACAATGTCCGACAAAAAATAGCTCTTGGTCTCTTGTCTATGTAAAAGGTGTGAATGCCCTTCTCATCACCATCATTGAAAATATTTCTAGAAATTGTCTGGTCCTGTCCCATGTAACAAATGTAGCCAAAGTGAATTCCAACTTACTTGTGTCAAGGCGGTGCCTTTAAGGTTCTTAAGTCTTCCATAAAAAAGAAGATGTTCCCTACCTGTTAGGGTTTCCCAGAGCAGGCTATATAACAAAAACTTAGTATTAAGAAAGCATATAAATTTTTATAACTAACATAATTAGTAAAACTGTGCGCCATTTTTTTTCATGGAGAAATGATATTTGAAAAAACAACACATTTGGGAAAACGGAAGGAAATAATAAATGATGGAAATTTGTAAAAAGTTAGGAATTAATGGGAAACATCATATTCGTGACTTTCTCTATTAAGTTATTCTTTTTCAAGTCTAAAAAGATTAATGGATTAAGTATTGTATCCATTATGACTAAAGGAAACAACACCTTAATAATTTCTAGACGGATTTTAATACTTACTCATGTTGAGGACAGACACCCATGTTGGCATAAATCCCATCCATGTCTGTTCTTATATCCAGGCCATGAACATATGCTGTGCCAGAGCTTGGCTTAACTAGCCCAAATCATCTGTGAACACCAAATCACTCTTCTTAGTTGGGTTAAATGCGAAAATAGAAACATATTATTTTTTATTTGTTAATTATAGCATCATACTTTCTTCTTATATTAACACATTTTATTTTGAAAAATCAACCCACTAACAACAATGTCATTCAAATACAAAGCAACTTTCACTGCTCTAATTGGGTAGATTTTTCGGAGTACAGTGCCCTAATAAGAAAAAGAAAAATGAAATACAATGACCCTTCCTCGACAACAGAAAATGCACCCATCTGTTTGGTATTCAAACAAACAAGATCAAATTATGAATTAAGAATGAAAGATGCTTTTGCACTAACCATATTAATGAAGGAGGTTTTGCCAGCACCATTTGGACCAAGCATACCAAAACACTCCCCTTGAGATAATGCAAGTGTCAACCCTCTAACTGCAATCTTCTCGGGGTTTCCATCACTTCCCGGATACACCTTTTTGAGTTTATCACAGACAATTGCATGGTTCGTGTCTTGTTCAACAAGTATCTGCTCGACCTTCTCTCTCTGATAGAACATGGAAGGGGACACAATTGGTATTTACCAAAGCTTAGATAAAATGAATGTTGAACAATCTATTCTCATAATTATACATTAGGCCTAAAACAGGTTTATGTGACCGAAGTTGACACAATAATTTAGAAGACTAAATAAAAGTTATCAACTATAAGAACTAAAGAAAAGGTATGTTGAACAATCTATACCCATAATTTTACAGTGTAGAAGTTCTACACTGGTGTAATAAAGCATACCATATACTTTGCACACATTTCTTACAAAAAAAGTTATTTTTCCGGAAAGTCTCACTTCTCGAACATCATGTGATATGTAAATCATGTACACAATGGTCTAGGTGAATGACATAAGAGTCTGGCCAGTGCCAAAAGAATCATAATCCACATTGGAACATAAACTCTCACACCGAGGCTACAAAGACCGGGACCTTCAACTTTTTTGCAAAGATACCACCCTGAAAGCAAATGTGCTATGCTTGGTGTCTACGGGTACTATTTCCAGATAACAATAAAACACAATTGCAACTAATAGTAGATACTTTATACACGATCTTTCTTTAAGAGGGGTTAATGAAAACTTATTATATGACTAATGCACCTATTCTACCAAAAAGTCCAAAGAATCAAGATAAACCAAAAACATTTTTATTTTTACTTACGATTTTTAAACTAATTATAACTAAGTAAAGATGCAATACTTGCCTCTTGGACAACATCAGGTTTCTCCAACTCTAGATATAGATTTGAACCCTTCCTTTGTAAACTAGGCTTCCTGAATGACGATGCGGGCTTCCTGAATGAAGAAGATGACTTATTTTTGAACTTTTCCAAGAAAAAAAGTGGACCTCTCCGGGCACCACTTCCCGATGTTAAAACGTGGTCAATATAGTATGCAATAAAGAAAACCACCACCCATTCCACAATCATCATTATTAGGACACGACCCATCCCATTATGCTCGTCAGTTAAATCTCCCCAACGCATTCCACGAGTCCCCATATAATTTCCCGTAAAAGCATATTGTGAAAAATCATATAATCCACGGTAAAGAGAAAACCCCGGGTATAACTCCATCACAACAATCCAATGTTCTAAAAAAAGTAGATGTATATTTACACAAATAACATGCAATCAACAATATATATATATTATTATATATATATATATATATATATATATATATATTATATAATATATATATATATAGAATATATTATATATATAATATATATATATATATATATAGACGCAAGTTCTTTTGACTTGAAAATTCCTAATCCGTTCATTATTTTTCACAACCAAAACCACCAACGGACTCCTAGACAAGCGATTAAGACAAATCCATGGTCCACAAATAGATTTGTCGAACTTTTTTTTTGTTTTTTTTTGGAAACGTGGATGTATGTACAATCAACAGTTATATAGACTGCTGATTGTACTCACCAGCAGTCCATATAAGTATTGATTGTGCATACATGCACGTTTCCAAAAAAACCAAAAAAAACCAAAAAAAACAAAAAAAAAGTTCGACAAATCTATTTCCAAAATGAATAAAAAAAATTGACAAATTTTTTTAGCCTAGATATGACTTAGACGCGCCATTCGAAGAAGATTGATGTTTTCGGTTTTGAAAACTGATGAACGAATTAGGAGTTCGGAAGTTTTCACGCTTTTTTTAGTTCTCACAATAACTCAACCATATATATATATATAGATATATAATATATATATAATATATATATATATATATATATATATATATATATATATATATATATATATATACTATATAGGTAGAGGTTCATTTGAAACTATGCTAATTTTGTGAGATATGAGGACGCGATCCTAGTCACACATATTGGAGATCAAAAAAATAAAAAAAAAATTATAAATTGCAAAATAAAAGGCAAAATCCAAAAATTCTTTTTTAAATATTATTTTTGTTATTCAATTTATCAAAAAAATAAAAAAATAAAACTAAAAATAAAAATAAAAATTAAAAAAAATCACCTATTTTTTTCGAAATTTGAGTGAAATATTCTAATAAAATATTACACTGTAAATGATCAAATCTAATTTTTAGAATGTTAGAATATTCTAAAATTCTACTAAAATTAGAAGATTTGTTAAAATATTGTAATATTATACTTGAATTGTATGATTTTTTAGAATATTCTAATATTTTATGAGATTTTTTTTTAATATTTATAGTTTAATAATCTAGTAAAATATTCTAACATTATAAAAATTCGATTGAATATTTACAGTATAATATTTTATTAGAATATTTCACGTATACTTTGAAAAAACGGTAATTTTTTTTTATTTTTTTTAGTTTATTTTGCTTTGTTTGGATAAAATAAATGACGAACATAATATTAAAAAAAAAAAATTCGAAAATTTTTATTTATTTTGTATTTTAAAAATATTTTTTTTGATCTCCAAAATGAATGGTTGGGATGCGTCCTTACCGGTTATTTACTTTTCCATATATATATATATATAGTATATAATATATATATATATATATATATATATATATAGATATATATAGATATATATATATATATATCTATATATATATATAGATATATATATATATATCAACGCCACTACATATGAATTCAAAAACATTTGTGCACTATATGCCCCTAGGTCGTACTGGTTCCGGTTGGTATCTTGTAGAAAACATGCAAGGGTTCGTGCCTTAGAAGCCAACACTTTAGGAGTTTCAATAATTCAATTGTAGATTGGGCAGTGGGCACTAGGCTTTTATGCCAGCCACCTAGCGGGTCGTTGGGTACCTTACATACATCGCAAATAATTCTTTTTGGCTGGGGCCTGGTGAAGTCTGCTTAGGGTTTCCGAAAGATTAAGGTTTTTTGCTATCAAACATCTGTGCAAAATGATCTGATCATCAAGACTACATTATTTGTATCTTCACTTACTTGGAAATGATGTAGCTTCAAGGAAGAACTGGAAGAATCCTGCTCCCACGAGACCGGTTGCAAAGACAATAATGTACCCGACAACTGTCATAATAATGTCGATACAAGTCATAACCCAGATCATTCTTAGAAGAAACATTAAGAGCCCATTTGTTATGTAGGACATGTTGTTATGCAGGACATGACATGATGTACGCGTATGGCATATATTGGAATGATACTGAGATCAATATCAATGGGCATAAATTGCAACTTTTTGTTGCACCCAAAAAGATGAAACAAGGTGGGATAGGGACTCTATATCTTAAAGATCACTCGTACAACTTTTTGATGCTTGTCAAGTCGTGTAACAAACACAGCTTAAGCAACTCCAACAGTCATTTAAAATATGATAACAAACCTGCAGCAGTCTTCACATTATAGAAGAGAGCAGCCACTAGAAACGCCAGAGAAATTTGTAAGTTTATATAGATGAAATAGAACACAAACTGGATGCTGTAGTCATTCAATGTGAAGAACTTTAACCCTGTAATGAATTGAAGGGCATTAGCTAAGTAAATTAAAATAATCAAAATAAAAAGTGTAATTCAGTGTTGGCTGATTTGTACCTACAACTGAGCCAAAGACCACGAAACAGAACATGTAAACCAAAGATATGGCAAGGAAGTATGCGTAAGAAATCATCCAATAAGGACCATTCCCAAGCCCATGCATTTTCATCATGATCCTTAAGTTTTGTTGTTTCTCATAAACCAGAGCTGTTAGTACAATCTGCAACAAGTATATTAATTTAGTCATAAGGACCCGTTTGTTATGCATGACCAGGACATAACATAACATGTTGTATTGTGCCTGGCATGCAGTGGAATGGGACTTGGACTCACGGCAATGGGACAAAAAGTGAAATTTTTTAGTCCAATTAAAAAAGGTGGAATAAGGTGAGATTTAGTCAAATATCAGGCAGATGAAAATAAATAGCAAAGGAATTTCTGAAGTCATGGGATATATGAGTTATGATCAGTGAATTTGGGGAAAAGAATGACCAGAAACAATATGCAAATTTAAAATTTTACTTACAGGGAATAGTTGCAAGATGACCCATGTAAAGAATAATGGTCCAAGGAGAGAAGAGAAGTCCAGCCTGCGTTCGGTTTCAGGTTTGGGCATCTCTTTTACGAAATCAAACAACATTTTGTAGAAGGTCCAAGCAGAAGTTGTAGGAAAGCATTTGAAACCTATATGCATAAATTGGAAATGTTTTAATTTGAATTATATATAGGTATTATATATGAAACTATGGGAACAGCCAATAACATGATAAAACACTAATCAGAACCATAACGTTGACCAAAAAATTGAATAAGAATTAATTTAGAATGTATACCCAATTTATTGAGCGACGAACCCGGACAAGTCCTATGGGAATATTTCCTGAATCATTCTTGTAGGTAGAGTTGTACCATACAATCACGTCATAACTACTGACATTGGAATTCAAGAAATCATAGCCTGTGGAAATGTTTAAATAAAAAATAAGATCATTTACTTAGTAAGCAGATAAACTATGTGTGGACCGATCGACCGACCTGCTAATATCTCATTTATTTTCTTCTCAGAGTTCCCCCTCTTGTATCCGGCATACAGCTCATTGTTAATATCAGAAGACCTGTTGCGCCATAAATGTTGACCTTGGACACATCTAATTTCTACATTAGAAATACAATTAAGATCAGTAAGATAATAAGCTGTTAAGATCAGGAGGCGGTGGAAAAAAGAAATATCACAATCACATTAGGAAAGCAAAAGTCGAATCGAAATAATTCATACCTTTCTCCACTTTCGTTGACGCCACTGGGACCGAAATAGAAAAAGTGGAGTTGGCTTGGCACTGAGATTGAATATAGTAGACTGGAAGACTCGAGAAGAAAGCAGGCTCAAGAATGTTGGATACTGGAGTCTCTGAAGCTGACCCCTGATATGTTCCAAAGAAGTCATGTCCGAAAACAAAATGTTACTATAATATTCATTACATACATCTGAATGATTGTTCTTGCAAGATGTGATGATAGACAGTAACTAACCAATACAACGTCAGCCAGACCATTGGATGAGTTAAAATTCGATGAACTTGGGAACATATTTCTAGCCAAACCTGTCAAATTAGTATGCATCAAGCAGAAAATTATGTTGATCAGGATATGTATATACTGAACTTTGACATAATAAGGGGTATGCAAGAGATAGAGTTGACATACTCTCTCCAAGAGATCGGTTATTCCCTGTCATAAGTACAGTTGTAGGGCAGGAAGCTGTACTTGTGCAGGAGTCATTAGGAAAATCTCCAAATGAAAGCAAATGATCAGTTCTCACTGCTCGATATTGTGGAGCTGGTACTTGTAATAATGGAGGCCATTCAGGTGGACTTGGCATGGAACAGGTACCCACTTGGTCCAAATCTGAGTATTCAATCCCACAACTCTCTCGCATTCACCATTCCCATCTTGATCAATACAAGAGCAACCACATTTTAAGGAAGCTTTATCTAGTTCAATGTTCACTAAATTTTGTAATACTACAAGTAACAAACAGAGGAAGACTGGGAATAATATGAGCCTCATATTTGTCTTGAAATTCCTTCTCTGGTTTGAAAAAAAAAATGGAATAACAAGAATTTAAAACAAGCTTTTATAACGACATGAGATCAAAATGCATAAACACTAAAAAAATATCTAACCTGAAAGGTCAAATTTTTTCTGAACAAAGCGTTAGCCTGAGTCCGGAAACTAGAAGAACCGTCCGTTGAGTCCGCCATTGATGCACCTCTCTCTCTCTCTCTCTCTCTCTCTCTCTCTCTCTCT